AAGTATACTAAAAAGAACCTGGTTATATATTTTGGAGGTTGAAAACCCCATTAAAAATATTTTAAAAATATTTACGAGTAGTTTTAAAGGATAAATAGGCTGAGAACTTGTTAAAAAAATAATGTAAATATTTTGGAGGTTAAAAAAAGCATTATAAATATTTTTAAAAGGTTACAGGCGGTTATAATTAGCTAAGAAAAATATTGTAAGTATATTCTTTGTTAGTTAATATTTTAATATAATATTTAAGCTTATTAATTTCCTAGTTTTTCTCGCAGTGCCTGGAAACTGCATCGAGTATGATAATAATGATTGCTGATGCCAGGACCAAAAACCCCTGTAAAAAGCAGCCCAAGGCTGCTCTATGAACCCCATAGAGTGAGAGTGAGACAGCGGGACTCGACCGCTTTTCACTCGCCTTTCAACAATTTTCCGACAGCTGTCCACATTGGCATTATTCCGTTTCTCATTTTCCTCTGCATTTTCCGATGCAACAGCAGCAGCTGATTCCTGATTCCTGACCCCGCTCTGCTCTGCTTGATGGTTCCATAGGATTCGAGGTCCTGGCTCCTAGGTTCTGGTTTCTGCAGCGCCCAGATCTTGAATTTCAATTTTGGGACTGGGATAAGGACTCGTCGAGGGATGGGGGATGGGAAGGGAACTGCAACTGGTATAGGGATCAGAGTCCTGGGTCTTGGGCTTAGGTTAGCGCCCTCCGGCATTTGTTTTGTTTGCCATCCATAAACTAATGGCTTTCAGGCAGACAGCCGTTCGGGAATATAGGGAATATAAGGAATACTTTGAATATATTTCAGCCTGCTGATGCATTTCCTTTTTTCGTCAGCAGCAGTTGATTCAATTAAACCCCCTGAGAAGTCAAAACTGCTGAGGGTTTGGCATCAATCAAGGAACCGAGTTGATTCTTCAATTTGTGGGAATTACACACAGGCAACACTCAACTCTCTCTTTGGCTTCGACTCAGACAAAGGAAGCTGCTTTCGGCAAATCTGTGTTGTGTAAATTGGTAATTCCAAGTGCAAGAGAAGCCATGTGAAGATACACATCACTTAGAGAAGATAGAAATTAAAGCCAAGTAACCAAGTGCACTGTGATTTAGGAATTAGGAGGTCCTTTGTGCACCTAAGGGAAGAAAGGAGAGGTATTAAACTTTCAAGAGTTTATTTATAATAAAATTCTACCTATTTTCAAGTAGTTTCTTCTTTTAATTAAATTACAAAGTAAATTTAACAACCCTTTTCTTTTCATAGAAATGAATATCTAAGATTTTTGGCTTGAATATTTATGAATATCCTTGGATTAAAGGTTTTTCTTCTGATATATTTCGCTTTATTTCCCCTAAGTTTTATTATATATCCAAGAGAACTTCCTATATCCTAGTTTTCGCCAAGTGCAGCTAAAACAAAGCGAACAGGATGGCAAAGAAACAAGTTAAGTTGTTTGTCTGAGGAATCGTGTCCTTAGACGTTTACGTACACACATTAAAGTGAGTCTGCTTGTGTGCATATTGAGTCACTAATCTTAATTACTTGTGCAGCATGCAACAAGAGCACTTAGCGCTGATACGAGCATCCTGGCATCCAGTCTCGTGTTGCCTTTTGGCCATATGCACATACGTGATTATAGTTTCCGATGGCCTTTAGTGCTGCTGCTGCTGCTGCTGCTCCTCCCCTCTACATATTTCTCTATGATTTCTCCTTCTCTTTCTCTAGATTTTCCCTTTTCTCTTATTGAAATAAATTCTCAATGAACGCGCCCATTCGACGGGCCTTTCATTTTCATGCGTGCCATTTGCAGCAGCTGGCGTTTTGGTCCTTGCAGCTTGTTGCTGATGGGATGCTGATGCTGCTGTCCCTGCTGTTGCTGTTTCTTTCTATTGATGTTGTTTTTGTTGTTGCCATTTGTGAAACGCTTGCAAATCTGCGGCAGATGCTCCGCCGCACATATATCCGCAGAATATACATTCCTGCATAGTATATCATATTTGGTTTGCGCATTAGCCCGGCCAGCAAGGCTAAGCGACACATGGAGCTCATCCACGTAGATGGATACACTCCGTGTCACAAGGAAACAGCTGAGGTCGCAAGAATAGAGATGAGTCTTCTTAAACTATATCTATGAGTAAGTAAGTAAGTAAGTAAGAGTAAGGAGTTTATATTCTCACTTTATGCATTTTTTTTATCAATATATTTTCATTGTTTTTTAAAGTTTAAATTAAATATTTTAAACATATACCTAAATTGCTAATAGAATTACTTTAAAAGATATTTTTAAAGAATATTTGCAGAACCTTACTTAAAGCCATTATCTTGACCGCAGATGTATCCTTGCGAGCTTGCTTGTTTGCCTTGTATGTAGATGTTGATGTTGCTTACGGGGTGCTGGCAGCAGCAGCAGCAGCAGTGGGCGGGGGGGAGTGAGAGTGATGTGGCAAGCCCATCCTTTATGTTATCCTACATGTCCTTGTGCTTCAACTCGACAAATATTCAACACGTATTCATTTCCTGCGGACGCTCAGTTGCCAACTGGCAACATTCTGTGTAGGAAAAGGGGTGGCTGGTGGCTGATGGCGATGACGGAATGGAGAGAGATGCTGCACAAGTGCAGCCAGGACATGGATACTTGCACTTGATGCTGTAGCCATAGCTTTCGCTGGAGATTCAGCAGCAGCTCCTGCTGATGAAGTAGCGACAATGCGGCAATGCGTCGCAAACTCACTTTGAGTGCTACTTGGCAGCAAGACAACGACGCCAGACTGCCAGGAGAAGGATGCTGCTGCGAAAGGATGCAGGACACAGACTAGGAGAAGCAGAAGGAGAAGGAGGTGCTGATGCAGATGGAGGTGCTAAAGGAGACGAGAAAGGAGAAAGGAGAAGGAGGCAAGACACCAGCGAAGACAGCGTGACACGCGGCTGGAGAAGGAGGAGGACAGCGGAGGTATTTCCTTGGCCAGGATAAAGGAAGCCTTCTTCGGATTGGCGACAGATATGCAAGAGAATCCTTCCGACTTGGCTTAAAATGGAAAATCCTGTGAGTGATAGAATCCTTGGGGTGAAAGAATGATGAAATAAACGGGGAATGGTGAAACTCTGCTTGTACTTTGTGGGGTTTATCTTTAGAATAGGGAAACCTATATTCCACTTAAGGTTTTATATATTTTTATAAATATAAATTCTCAACTTTACTTAAGACTTTGTATCCTTTACTAAAGCCTTGATAATTTGTACTTGGAATAATATTACATATCCTTATTCTTTGCTTATTGTTTCGTTATTGTCTCACGGTTTTTTATTACTTCATTAAGCGAGTGTTCTGTCAATATCCTTTTCTTTTTCCTTAGATGGAATTTAGGTAATATCCATATTCGAGGGTTGAACTATTCCCAAGGATGCTTTCCATTTTGAATCTCATTTTCCCCCGGAAGTTCCCCCTGAAGCCTTGATAAATATTCCTCACGAACCGACCTCATCGCCATGCTCATCGTTGATCCTTTGACGATTGCACAACACTTCCAGCTCATGCACTCAGTTCCCAGCTCCTTCATACCCTTCAGCACTTCCCCCATTATTTTCAGTCACCTCCTCCCCCCTGGAGGTATCTCGTCAAGTGACCCTCTCGATGGCTGTGGCTTCTCCGGTTCCCCAAGCTCACCAGTTGTTCTCCAAAGAGCTCCGCTGCTCTGCTCCGGCATTTCTCCAGAGGAGAGCCCACGGAGGAAGCCGTGAACGCTTAACGCCCGCTCATTCCCGGCCAAAGAGAGTAGTAGTAGAGTCACACGTAGCCACGAAATCATTTTTCACCACTTAGTCACGTCGCTTTGACAGCACATCCCTGGGAGGATGAGGATGCGGCGGAGGCAAAGGCTGAGAACGAGGCTGGGGTATGTTGGGGTTAGTCTGGTTGCGGGCCAGGGATATATGGCCTCAGCATCCGCTCTTATCTGCGGTTTAGTTGCTTATAATTGGCAGACATGTGAAAGGAGGAGAAGAGCTTTCCCAGAGAGTCCTTGCCCCCTGCCCGACCCTCCTCAAAACCGGATGCGAGTGCCTGGGCCGACTGTTAATAGTTAGACTCTCGCCGGATATCTATATATCAGTAATTAGCCAACGGTAGGTCGGCAGGACTTTCCCACGCCAAAAAGGCCAACGGTAACGGAACAGTGGCAGTAACAGGACGCAGGACATTGCGTGCTGTTGTTATTAGTACGTAAGTAACTCCTACGTAACTTGCTCGGCAATTACAAACGTATTTCTGTCGATCGTTGTTGGGTTTCTATAGTTGGGCGTTGGGCGGTAGGAACTTTCCCCTCGCTGGTTCTCAGTTGAGTTTATATACATTTTTTTTTACTTTTTTTTGGCTGGGTAGCGAACAGATGGCATCAATCAAGTGGAAACCACTAAGTATAATGCAGCAATGTTGCCCGAAAAAGTTCCAGTGCAGTGCAGTTTGGAAATCTTGTTGTTACCCCAGCACAAAGCGCACCCCGAACCGCCCTACACTGAGGGAAATAGGGGAGGAAAAACAAGATATATTATCTAGAATTTTACTAACAGCCTTGTCAGGAGTATAACTCTTAGGTCTTGTACCCTTAAAATTTAATAAAAATATATATCCTCTTAAAACTCTTTTAATTTTATTTCTTGTATAATATTTAACTCTCCTTTTCCTTTTTTTAAATCTCAGTGTAAATGGTACTTCCCAACAAGTGCCTGTAGTACGTGTTGTCCTGCTATTTGGTTACCTTGTATGGTTGCACTTCCTTCGCTCTGCTTGTGGCACGAATCAAAGTATTGAATTTCTATATCCGTTTTTTTCTTCCTCTCCTTTCATTTCGTTTTATTTTCTGGGTATTGTTCGGTGCGGTGTTCGGGGCGTGTTGCTCCGGTGTTGCTGCTGCTGCTACGTAGTGTTGCTGATGTCGCTGTTGCCGCTGCTGCTGTTGCTTACATAAGGACAACAACGGCAACAAGAGCTCAGCAGGACTAAATGAGTGCACAGGAAGTTTTTACATTGCTCACCTTGAATGGGGTTGGGTTGGGAGAGGTTGAGGAGGGTTCGTTATGGGAATGGGAATCGGAATGGGAATGGGTATGGAACTGTAGCTGTAACTGGGTGCGGGGCAATTAGGTCCTGTCGCTGTGTGCGAGTATCTGAGGCAGAGCGGAAACTGTCGCAAGTGATCGGCGTGTTGATAAGTTCGGCAACAACATCAGCCATAACACCATACACAAATGTGAATGTGTGTGTGTGTCCCTGGCATTTTTGGAATTGCCAGAGAACAGGCAAAAGTTTTTGAATGCGTTTTGCGGCTCTCACAAAATCCATTTGTTTCAAAACGATTTTCGCATTTGTATACCCTGACAGAGGTTTAATTGCTCGAGTTTGTCATTTTATTTGAGTGTCTGTTTGAGTTTGTTTGTCTCTGTTTTTATTTTTCAATGAAAAGTTTAGCGGGTTTCAAAAATTTGTTTTCACAATTTATCAAATACTGTTGTTTTATCATTTTTTAGAGTCCTAACTAAAGGGCATTGTCTCGATGTCTTTAGAGATTATTATTTGATAAGAGAGCTATAATTGACTGAAAGTTTGTTTAATATTCTAGGAGGAGCCTCCATTTTATCTTAATTAAATCTTAGGACTCACTTATAGACTTCTAGCTAAAAGTATTAAATACGTGTAATGTAACAATTTCTATTTAGAATTTATAAAATAAATTGTATGAAGAGTGCATTAGAAATTCAGCAAAAAAGTGGGAGGACGATAGGCAGTGAAGTTTACTGAAGATATTTCATAGTGATAGCTTGAATCTACATAAAATACATAAAATAAAATATAAAGTAAAAGAGGTAAGTTAATAGATCTTGAATTCAGTAAAGTAATAATATTTCTTATGATTATACATTATAAATATCCCAAAACCTCCAAGATAATTTATCATTATAGTACCTTAGCGCCTGAAAACCTAAAAAAAAACCGCTTTCCATTTCTCTTCTCCAAACCCTTCCTTTAGCTGTCATAACAACAATTGGTTTTTTTTGGCAAGGGTATTCAAACCTTTGGGTTTCGAAAGTTTTTACCTATATTTTTTTTTGTTTTTCTGTTTTCTATGTTATTTTCGTTTTTTTTTTTTTTTGCTAGCAAGTTCGGGTTCTGGTTTTCTCTCCAGCTGTACTGGGGCTGGCCTGTGCTACTCGGAAACAAAGTGCTATAAAAGTCACGCCCGAGGCGAAATGAGTTTTCAGTGGCGGGGAGAAGGGAAAGCCGCTTTTCCAGCGTGTTTTTTTCCGTGTTCAGCATCAGGTAACCTAACCTTTTGTGCCGCCCATTAGAAACATGCACGCAGTGGGCTTACTTAAGCATACAAATTGTGTACGGCGAAGAGCGGAGCCAAATGCAAATGCGCCAGACTCTGGCAAATGTACGGATAGAAATGTGGAATTGTGGAAATGTGGAAATGCGGAAACGTGCGGGGATTTCACGCAGCACCGCAGTCGGAATTGGAGCTGGATCTGGAGTTGGATATAGCCGTGTATATAGCTGGAAAACTTTTCCATGCGTGCCGCCATTTGACTCGCAAGATTGACACGCTGCCAAAACGAGAGCAGAAGGAGGAGTGCAGGGGAAGGGCATTTTTCCCGCGGGGCAAGCAAGGGAAACTGGGGGGAAAAACTGTGCAGATGTGTCCAATTTAGTGGAACACTGGACCAACGCCCCCGGCCAGATGCTAGACGCTTTCTTGGACGAGCAGGCAAGCGGTCCTTATGAATATTGTACCCAGGACTTGGGTATTAACAGGGGGTATGTTGAGTTTTGGAAACAGGGAAGGAAATATGTGAAACCTGGGAACTTAATTAGGTTTTTAGCTGAAAAGGTGTATTTCTAGCACTTTGTGTGGTTAAACTATCTAAACAATATAACTCTTGTTTAGCTCTTTATATTATCCATAGTTTTAATGTTAGATATTTTTGTCTCAAGAGACCATGGTATATTATTAAATTGTCTGCCTAGTTATGAAGTTTCAGATCAATTGAACAATAAATATGTTTCCAGGAGGGTTATAAGTTTCTCTTTAAAAACATTTCTATATTAAAATTAAAAGACCGCCGGAAAGTATGCTATAATTCCCACACAACAGGGAAAAGGTACCCCCAAAGTCGAGGCACTTATATCTTTTCATTATAAGCTCAACCCCCAAAAGTCTTAATCCCAAAAAACCTATTCCACAGCGAGTCCCAAAAGAAAAGCCTAACCCTCGGGCCTCGGCCTCGGCCAGTCTCGACAAGTGGCGGAAATTAATGCAGTAATTGTGGTAAGTGCTTGTCCTCGCTGCTGATTCATAATCGCATGTATTCAATTAAGGAGATTAATTATTTCGGGCAGCTAACGCTCTCCAGCACACATCTCCATCTCTCCGCAGGATTCAAAATCCGGCTGGCTTAGGGAAACTCTTTACTTGGACTTCTCTGGTCAGGGGTCAGCGGAAGGTCACGTGGCGACCATAAATATGCTAGCCAACGGCCATCGATTGTACCTGACCACGCCACAGAACTATCCATCTTCCATAAGATGTCAGCGCCAGGACAAGGAGCGGAAAGGAGCAAGGAGCAGGCAGGCAGCGTTGAAGCTTATGCAAAGTTCCCCTGTTCACCCGAAAAATCTGAGGGTCTTACGCTGGGAATTTTCGGTCATGACAATAATCAGCTGAAGCGGCTCTGTTGGGTGTCAAAAGTTCCTCCCCCTTTTTTGCTCCTTGAACCGATGGTGGTGGTTTCCTTGAATCTCTCCCCTCTGCTTCCTACGATTGTCCCTGGCCAAATAAATTAGGCAAGAAAAAATTGACATTCCTGGCCAGGCCAAGGAGGCCAGAAACACTGATTAGAACAATATGCGTAGATATGTAAGGGCAATCTATGGCCTTCTCTATGCTAGATATATATATACATATATATATATTTCCACATTTATTTCCATGCGTATTTATATAACGCATTTGTAGATGGCCGAGGCCGAGGACGACAAAAAAAAAGATGTGTTCAAAATAAATATGCGTGCGTGTTGCTTCCCCACACAGGGTACAGGGTACAGTAGCCGAAATGAGTATAGATTTGTTTGTTTGTATGTCGTTAGCATTGTTTTTCCCCCAGTGCGTGCGTGCGTGTGTCTCCATCTGCCGCCCCTCCCTCTTGTGAGTGTATCTGTGTGTGTGTGTATTTTTGCCTTTCGTTGACACTTTCACAATTTATGGCAAATGCTGTCTTTCGCCCTCCACCTCCGGCCATGGAAAAGGCGCCAGCCACCGAAGCGAAGCTACCGAACCCACCCCCCCCGAAAGTTACTTTCGCCACCCACCGAAAAAAACAAAAAAGAATTTCCCGAAAAAAAGAAGCAAGGCTATTCCGCATTATCGGGGGGTACGACTTTGGGGTACCCAACGGAAAAAGGGATATATGTATAAAGGAATTCAAGAAATACCCTTAAAAAAAATTAAACTTTTAAGGTTTAGAACAGAAAATGTTTAAAAATAATTAAGACAATACATTTAATAAAGAAGTTTGGGTAATAATACATAAAGAATCCACAAATATTACTTATAAAACTTATTAAATATTTTAATTTTTAATATGGTAACTTAAACCTGTTTAATCATTAACTGAAACCTCTTAAAAAATCTCAATAAAATCACTAAAGACTTCCGTTAAATATTCAACTTCAACTTCCTTCATCCTTCCTCAAAAAACAAAAGTAAATAACATTAACTAACTACTCATTCTCATAAAAATCGAAATAAACCCCGAAAAACCAAGTATAGAACACCCATAAAAATTTAGCTATAAAAATCGGGCATATCCTAGCCGTTAGGGTATCTACCGGGTATGGGCGTTTCGGGGGCGTGGCCATCGCTGGAGGGGGCTGGACAGAGAAAGCAGTCTGTTTACCAGTTTCCGCAGTTCCCAGTTGTACACAGGACTCATTTGAAATAAATATTTTTGTGTTTTTACTTGAAGCGACAATAACGCAAAACATGAAACATACACTAACAGCAGAGACAAATGTGCGCTATAGTGTGTGTGTGTGTGGGTGGGTGTGGGTGGGTGTCCTGGGAAGTGTGAGAGTGTGTGCCAGTGAGTGTGGCTGTAGGCAAAACCACGCGCGGCGCTGCGGCGTCAAAGTCGAATTACTCATACGCCACGTTGGCCACTGTCGCTGCCACTTTTGGCTTTGCCATTGTTTGTTGCTGCCGGTTACACAAAGCAACAAGGGGAATATATTAGGGAATAAATATGGATATGGAATAATGTATAAATAAAATTATGTAAGGAAATATTAACTTAAATGTCAAAGTATATTTATTTAGCTCTTGATTCTTTGCCTCTTCTTACCTAAATTTTTTAAAAAATATTTTATAAACATTACTTTAAAGGATAAAATATTTTTTAACAATTTTAAAGTCTCAAAGTCCTTGAAAGATTTCTGATTTACATGATAAAAGGCTCATCACTCACATCTCCGATTATACCCAAAAGTCATCTTTTGTTGTCTAGTGTTTTTCATGTTGCTGTTGTTAATGTTGCTGCTGTTTTTGTTGCTGCTGCTGTTGTTTTTGCTGCTTCTGTTGTTGTAGCTGTTGCTGTTGCTGTCGCTGTCCCTGTCGTCGTTGTTGGCGTCTGACACACAATCCGTGCCTAGTATGCGCGTTGACGTTAAAAGCTACAGAGCAATTAATCATTAGCTTTTACAGGATTTATTGCAAATACTTTTATCGGATATATTAAATGAACTCCACTCCACTCGAGCACGAGTCGAGCCCCGAAGGCAGGGCCCGGGAATTATGGCAGCATTAATCCAGTGGGGACTATCTGCCGACAAACATCTTACTACTCTACTATATATATAAATGCTTGCCTCTGTTTTCGGGGCTTTAAGATTTGCGTCATCGCGGAGTGTCAGTCATGTGGGTCACGGGGAAAATTCATTCTTCAGGGCTGTGTTAGCAGAAGGTGGAAAGCGGCAGGGGGAAAACTTTGCGCCGCGACATATGCACACACGCGATGGCTTAGCAACAGTTTACATCGCATTGTCCCCGGCTGTTTACTTTCGGTGACAAAATGAGTTACAGGTTTCATTCATTGCCCTAATGCAGCCTGATAAATTTGAGCGCATTAATTACGCTCACTTGGCGCTGGGAAGCGAACACATCCTTGCCCCCTTCCTTCCTG